TGGAAAGATCAGTAAGTTTCGCCTAGGTGCCATATTTGATGGTGCGCGGCTTTTGGAGCAAAATTAGCTGTACAAGTTGCGTAATTTGACCAAATTTGACCAAATTCGTTGATTTTTGTCGTATTATTTGGATATATCTTCAGTTCCTTGAATGAGATCATTCTGAAAATTGGCGACAACCTTCCAATAGGGCTTTCACAACTGTCCGAAAAATTTGGTGGATATCAGAGTTGATATAGTGATCAAAATGGGGCAAAATACGCTGCTTTTAGCTGTAACATAATGTCTGATGGTTGGATATGCTTTAAACTTTTCGGACACCTTCCTTGTAAGTCTATAAGTAAGCTTACCAATTTTTGTTGCAATCAGAGGTCGGGAAGGATACTTAATATCTATTTGTTTGAAGAAAATTGTGCTGGCCGAAATTAGCGCTAAAAAACCATCCTACAGTCGGCACGCGCGGCTCACTGTCGATGACGCACTACCTAATACAACGTATGACAATGAATTTCTAGGTTAAGGATAAAAGGAAATTGCAGCATGTGCGGTATCGCAATTTTTCAGATCTTGGCCTCACGACAAATCGCGAGTTTTTCAGTTCTTCGCGTCAAATTGCGCATTCTCCTTTAAATCTGAGGACCAAATTTGCGTATTTTCCTTCAAATCTGCGGGCCAAATATCACGTTTTCTATAAATATAATTAGTACATGAAACCAATCAGTATCACATCCACAACCTTCCGAATGTAGGTACGGACTCCAAAAAAACCGAAAAATATATTTTCGGCCCAGAATGATCAGGGTAGCATGAAACATGAACAAAAGTAGTTTCCAGAAAAACTTTGAAAAATTTTGACATCGAAAATTTTCGGTAAAAAAACCCGAAAAAATATTTATTTTCCCAAAAATTTTCGGTCCGAGTCATTCTCGTCTCTCTATACGTATCTCTGAAAGCAGAGCTCCCGCTTCCGAGCTCGTATTTCGAAGGGGAGGCCTGCCTTCCGAGATCGCATTACAAAGGGGAACCCTCGAGTCCAAAATCGTATATCGAAGGGTAGGTGCGGACTTCGAAAACAGAATAAAACATTTTCGGCTCAGAATGATCAGGGTAGCATGAAAGTGAAACATGAACAAAAGTAGTTTCCAGAAAAACTTTGAAAAATTTTGACTTAGAAAATTGTCGGTCCGAGTCATTCTGAATTCTCGATACGTACCTCTGAAAGCAGAGCTCCCGCTTCCGAGCTCATATTGCGAAGGGGATGCCTGCCTTCCGAGATCGCATTACAAAGGGGAACCCTCGAGTCCAAAATCGTATATCGAACTTCGAAAACCGAAAAAATATTTTTGACTCATAATGATCAGGGTAGCATGAAACATGAACAAAAGTTGTTTCCAAGAAAATTTTTGACTTAGAAAATTTTTAACTTAAAATTTTTATGACTGGCCCCCCTGCCCCCCCCCCCCCCCCCGCTTCCTACACCCCTGATCATTGCACATGCTTAAATTATTTGTTATAAAATTGCTATCTACCACAAAAACCAAAATGTCACCTACCATGTCACCGAAACAGACTGTTAAGTTACTTTTCAGTATAACCAGCAGCTGGCTTGGGGTCATGTCTAGGTGTGGTCTGGTTTTTCTATCTCTCCTTAATATTTCCCTGATAGTAATTTGTAATTGTTCCTTACTGAACCCTTACCTGGACCAAATTTATCCGTTGTTTACAATAATGTCCATGGTTTCCTAAATACACGCGATTTAGCATCAGGAACACCACCACTAAATATGACCAAGATACATGAATTCCATGGTTATATCTACAAACATAAGCCTCACATCATTATTCTAAACGAGACATGGCTGAAAAATTCCATTCTCAGTAATGAGGTGCTCCCCGACAAATACAAAGTATTTAGGCTTGACCGATCCTTAAGATCGCATCCAGTGGATGCAACCCAGCCCAAGAAATTCAGAAAAAACGGTGGTGGTGTTCTGATCGCCCATAGAACAGACATTGATATCTCGAGTCTAAAGTTCTCTAAAGTTAGTGTTCAAGCTGAATTATTATCCATCATAATTAAGACTCAGTGTGGAAGAAACTTTTGTATATCAACATTTTATAGAGTAGGAACGCTTGGCTTAGATAATTTTGAATCTTTCAAGAAACATTTTGTTACTTTAGCATCTGCCAGAAAATTGCAAAGGCACATTCTGGTAGGTGACTTTAATTTGGCTTCGATTTCCTGGCCAGATGGTCAGTCATCTTGCCAGCTACATTCTAGCTTTGTAAATTTTCTCACTGATGACCTCGGACATACACAACTTATTAGCTCTCCTACTCACAAGTCAGGCAACACCTTTATAGATCTTGTGTTCACTAACATTCAAAACCTTATTAAGAATGTTAAAGTTTTAGATCAAAACGAAATGTGTATGTCCGACCACTTTTGTATCACATTTGACATTGATATTAAGACCAAGTATATTAAGCAGCCTAAAAGAAAGATCTTTAATTATAGTAAAGGTAATTTTAGGGGCCTGAATTCTGAGTTATTTAGCATCGATTGGGATAGTATATTTGAGTGTAATGATCCTTATCTTGCCTGGAGTCGATTCAGAGGAGTTCTTGGTGCAGCCTGTGACCGATGGATCCCTAAAAAGACCATTAAGTCTCAGTTCCAGCCCCGATGGTATGACTCCGAATGTGATCGTCTCCTACGAAATAAGGAGAAATGGAGAATAAGGCATAAGGGGAGCAACTCTGAGTCTCATAAACAAAAGTTTCGTGCATTTCGCACAAAATTTAAAAATTTGATGGACGAAAGAATGAGACTCAGTGTTGAGGATGACTCCGATGATGCTCTTATCTCCAAGAAATTCTGGACCTACGTTAAATCTAAATCAAAGTCAACCAGGATCCCTGAAACTGTCAAATATCATAATCGCTTTCGAAACAATCCATCTGATCAAGCTGCCCTTTTTAACGAATATTTTTATGAGCAGTTTTCTCAAGAGAGCGATTATGGCATTGACATAGATTTTCGTGATGATTGTTTTTCAACTCTTGTGTTTAGTAGAGAAGATGTTCTGTTGATTCTTAAAAAGTTAAATCCTAACAAGGCCCCTGGCCCTGATGGGATTCATGGGAGAGTCCTCAAAAACTGTGCCCAAAGCCTTGCATACCCACTTAGTGTTTTATTTAACCTGTCTTTCTCGAGCGGATGCATACCCCCTGATTGGAAGCTGGCACTTGTAGTACCAGTGCACAAAAAGGGCGATAAGTCTTCGGTTGAGAACTACAGGCCTATCTCGTTAACATCTCTTGTAATGAAAGTCTTTGAAAGGTGCATAAAGACTGCATTATACGGTGCGTGTTCTGATCTGTTGGATGACCGACAACACGGTTTTGTTAATGAACGTTCATGCACAACCCAAATGATACCTTTCACGGACAATCTTGCACTTGCATTGAATAACAGGTCCAGGACTGATATAATATATTTTGATTTTGCGAAAGCCTTTGATAGCGTTTCGCATGACCTCATTTTAAGTAAATTAAAGAATATTTTTAATGTCGATGGACTAATGCTTAAATTTATTAAGTCCTATCTTGAGGGGCGACAACAACAAGTAGTGATAGGAGGCCAAACGTCTTCTTCTCTACCAGTTCGGTCTGGTGTCCCTCAAGGTTCTATACTTGGCCCTTTATTGTTTGTAATATTTATAAATGACATGTTCTCCTGTGTCTCTGAAGGCACCAATATCGCCCTTTATGCAGATCACACTAAAATTTGGAGGGAGATTCTTGGTTACCCTGACCATCACATAATCCAAAATGACATCAATAGATTATATGATTGGTCAGTGAGAAATCGAATGAAGTTCCACCCACAAAAGTGCAAAGCCCTCTCTGTGTCCCTGCAAAGAAACGTGCTGGATAACTTGCCATTCAATACCTTCTTTTATAAACTTTCTGGAAGTGATATTGACTTTGTGCCCTCTCAGTCAGATTTAGGAGTCGCAATAAACTCCAGGTTTAATTGGGGTGCACAATGTAAAGCGCTTGTTTCCAAAGCTACATCTAGACTTGGACTACTTAAGAGAACATGTCATTTCACTACTGATAAAAGGCAGAAAAGATCGTTCTATTTAGCGTTAATTAGGTCTATATTTGAACATTGTTCTGTCATATGGTCCCCTCAATCTGCAACTCATCTTCAACAGTTTGTTGCTATCCAAAAGAGGGCTATTAAATGGATCAATGGTGAACCTTACTCCAGTTATAATGACGATAAACTTGCTACAGAGCAAAAGAAACTAAATATTCACCCGATACACTAGGCACAATGCTCAAATAATTGATATGTCGGATACTTCAACTTACATGAGTACCACTGTGCCCTGCTCGGATGCCTTCCGAAATAGCTTTTTTCATAGATCTATGCTGAAATGGAATAGTCTACCAGTATGTATCCGGCAGTCAGAGCGGATTTCTACTTTTAAGGCCAAACTGATCAAGTACCTCTGGGCTGCCGATACAGTCTGGCCAGATTAGCTCATCAGTCTTATGAGTCTCAGAAATTTGTTTTTGTTGGTTACAATTCTGTCCGTCCAAGTTCCTATCTGCTCGTCCTTTTCTTTTTTCTTTATCAGTTGTGACGGAATTGTAATGAACAAAATCCTTATAATTATTTATGATATGTTTGATTTCTTGTTAATGTTTGTCATTCAAATTTGGTAGACGGCCCCAACGTTAATGTGGCTCTTGCTATGTGTTGGTTCAGCCGAATTAATTATTATATAATCAAGTTTATTTTTCTCGTTAGTTGCCATCCGGCCAAACATTAATTAAGCAACTTATATTGCAGTACCATTTATCATTTAGTAATCAAAATATGTCATTGTAATTTTGCATGGCTGAAATGTAACGCTTGATTTATATATATAATGATTAATTGAATTTTCAAATAAAAAAATTTGCTTACGTTGCAATTATTGGGCTCAAAGTCCAAAGCAAATAAGCTTATCCTCAGTAAATTCATCTATACCCAAATGTCCAGCTTCTCTACCAATTCCACTCTCCTTCCAGCCTCCAAATGGATTGTTAGCACTCCTAATAGCACCTTCGTTAACAGCAACCATTCCACACTCCAAATTCTCAGAAACCCTCCATGCTTGAGACAATTCCTGGGTGAAAATGTATGCTTGTAAACCATATCGTGTGTTGTTAGCCATCTCAACCGCTTCGGTTTCTGTATCAAAACTAAACAATGACGCCACCGGTCCAAATATCTCCTCGTGAAAGATCGGTAACTCATTATTTTCTCTGCACGATAAAATTGCAGGTGAGTAAAACGGTTGTTCACCGTATTTGACATCCTGATTTTCAGTTATCAGCTCCACATTTGTTGTATTCAAGGCCAGGGTACTTTCAGGCAACTTGGTCGTTTAGCTCCGGACAGTCTATGCAACGTCTATGCAACGTCCATGCAACAACAAAAGAACCGTCTATGCAACGTCTATGCAACGTCCCTGCACAATGAACACTCTATGCACACTCCCTGCACGGTCAGTCTATGCAACGTCTATGCAACGTCTATGCAACGTCTATGCAACGTCCCTGCACAGTACCATATGAACACCGCCTACTAGCCGGCTACTAGCCGGCTACTAGCCGGCTAGTATCCACTTTTGTAATAACAGCTCCTCAACTTCACATTACCAACCGGCTACTAACCGGCACTTGAAAAGTGGTCACTAGCCGGCTACTAACCGGCTACTAGCCGGCTAGTGACCACAAAGTGGCTACTAACCGGCTACTAAGCGGTCACTAGCCGGCTATTAGCCGAGCTCTAAAGCAGACCTACTAGTAGCCGGTTCCAAACCGGCTACTAGCCGGCACTTAGAAAGCGGTCACTAGCCGGCTACTAACCGGCTACTAACCGGCTAGTAACCACCAAGTGGCTACTAACCGGTCACTAGCCGGCTACTAATAGGTCTGCTTTAGAGCCGGCTAGTGACCGGTTAGTAGCCGGTTAGTAGCCACTTGGTGGTTACTAGCCGGTTAGTAGCCGGTTAGTAGCCGGCTAGTGACCGCTTTTCAAGTGCCGGCTAGTAGCCGGTTTAGAACCGGCTACTAATAGGTCTGCTTTAGAGCTCGGCTAATAGCCGGCTAGTGACCGCTTAGTAGCCGGTTAGTAGCCACTTTGTGGTCACTAGCCGGCTAGTAGCCGGTTAGTAGCCGGCTAGTGACCACTTTTCAAGTGCCGGTTAGTAGCCGGTTGTTAATGTGAAGTTGAGGAGCTGTTATTACAAAAGTGGCTACTAGCCAGTAGCCGGCTAGTAGCCGGCTAGTAGCCGGTGTTCATATGGTACTGTGCAGGGACGTTGCATAGACGTTGCATAGACGTTGCATAGACGTTGCATAGACTGACCGTGCAGGGAGTGTGCATAGAGTGTTCATTGTGCAGGGACGTTGCATAGACGTTGCATAGACGGTTCTTTTGTTGTTGCACGGACGTTGCATAGACGTTGCATAGACTGTCCGGAGCTAAACGACCAACTTCCCTACTTTCAACCAATGATGCTACTTTTGCGTGAGCTTTGCTGTTAACAAGTGGTCCTACACTAATACCTTCATCAAGCCCATTTCCCATCTTCAGTTTTGCAACTTTTTTTGCAAGTTTCTCAACAAATTCTGCATAAACACTTTTGTTAATGAGAATCCTGTTAGCAGCACTACAAGCTTGCCCAGCATTTCTGAACTTTGCCAACATGGTACCATCTACAGCTCTATCTATATCAGCTGATTCAAACACTATCAATGGTGCATTTCCTCCCAGTTCCAAGTGAATTGCTGAAGAAGTTAGACAATAAAACAGCATTGAGCGTGCCGCTCGCGGTAAATTCCAAGGTTTAAGAATGCATTTGACTCAAAAAATCTGGTTCCTTTACTTTTTCAGAGGAAATATGGATGCTATTGTGAAAGGTGCTAAGAAGAACTTGACAAGGAGCAGGCTCAGAAGGTTCTGGATTGGACGTTTTCTCTGACAACCTGATACTATTTTCTCCAGGAATCTGAGAAGACATGTGGAGTATGCTTAAGATCGTATGGATGCATTGGGAAAATGAACATGTCACTCAGAGTTTGACAATGTGAATTTGGCTACACTAAGATTGACTTCTTGGGATTTGTTATTGACGGTGTTAGTGTGGGTCATTCTGAAGCTAATAGTATAGTCAAGAAGTTCCCTAAACCTAAAATACAAGAAAGAAAACCAACGATTTTGGGGGTAGCTAATTTCAAAGAAGATTCATCAAGATTTATTCCTCCATGGCTAAACATTAACCTCCCTGTTCAGAGAAAGTGCAATTCGAGTGGGGTGCAAATTCTAGAGGAAGCTTCACAGTGTTAAAGACAATCTCGGCAATGTGTACAACCTTTACATTCCAAAGTGGAAGGAACGTTTAACATACAGGACTGATGCTCTGGCATTTGCGGTGGAGGTATGCTTTTATTCAGTGTCGATAAATTGGTTTCAAAATTGCCCCATCTCGTTCCATTCCAGACACTTACCAAGGCGGAGACAAGACTGGGACGCTAAGAGAGAGAATTTGGGCTATTATCAGCTGATAAGAAAATGGAGAGTGTTATTGCTGTGAAGGAAAAGTAAAAACCATCCATACAGACAGAGCCACTGAAAATATCCGCAAACGAAAAGACCCCGAACAAGATAATGAGGATGGTTAAATGAACTCGAGGCTGTTGAGTTTGAAGTTTGGTACATCCCTGGAGAATTGAATGGAGTAGTGAAGTCTGAGCAGATTGTGGGTAAAGACTGACATTAAAACGGATAGAAGCGATGTGAAGCAGAAAGTCACATTTTGCTGAGTTGAGTAAAGGTGGAGAGAATGACAGCTTGAAAAATTAGCCCATAGAAAAACGATGCCTGGATTAAGTGGACTAATCTGAATACAGAACAACAAAGGTGTATCTCTAGAGGTCCTTTATAAAAAAACATAAATTATATAAGTGTTGACAGCTCGGGCTGTTTTATAAGGAAGACGTATTGTCGTGCCACCAAGCCTTCAAGATAAAATAATTCAGAGTACCACTGCCAAAGCATCCCGGGCCAGAGATAACCGCAACCCAATCAGGGGCTTGGTTTTGGTGGAGATGTTTATCTAAACAGGTAGATAGATGCTTTCACCAAAGATATGTAGAACCTGTATTCAAGGGCCAAGAGTAGACCTGGATAAGGCTGAAATGATTATCACTGATGTCCCTAAATCCACGAGTTGATTTCTTTGATATTGCTCAATGGCCTAAATCGCCCAAAGGTAATTGTTGTTTCATTCTGTGTGTTCGACTTATGTACAAAAATGATAACGCTACGGCTCTGCCCAATCAGACAATATAAGGTCCGCAAAGAAGCATTTTGGAGAAACATATTGCTATTATGGAGTAATAGATTCTGTCTCTGACAAGGCCCTAATGTAGACAAATCAAGCCATCAAAGTACTGTGTGTGAGATGGTTATCGAGAAGTGCCACTCAAGCCCATACCACCCACAGGGGAATGGATCGGCTGAAAGATCAATTCAAACCCGTTAAAAGACAGACTGCTGTATGATAAGACAGCAGAACACCTTGACAGGATTGGGATACCCTTCTTCCATGTAGCTGTGTTAGTGAGATGAACAGGTCAAATGAACAAGTCGCTTTATAGGGCGTCACCATTCTCGTGTACTTTTGTTAAAGATGCTAGACTAGCGTTGTTTAATTTCTTCCAACTACCAAGTATTTACCATTGAGCTCAGTTCAAGAAGATTATCTTAGTAGCAGTAATCACAATCCGTGACATGGCAAGAAAGCATACAGATTCAACATGACAAGAACGCCTCAAAGGAGGTGTAAGGAGTGGAAGCAAGGAGACCGGAGTGATTATAAGCGTACACATGGTAACATAAAAAGATCTCGCCCTAAATGTGGTTGATGGACCATCCACATCGTTAGGAAACTCAGCGATGTAACTGGGAAATCACTTGATTCGAAGGGTAAACATAGAATTTATACACAGTAACATGATGATGACGCAGGCACCAGAATAGAAACCTGTTGCAAGCTGAACATCAACAGATACTGAAGAGGTGGAATATCAACAAACACACCAAGACTCCATATTATGCATCGTTAACACTACAAGTACTATAAGGTCCTTATCCTACACTACTGATATTCTTCTCACTACATCGCTGGTGGAAAAACCTTTTTGGATAAGACCACTAATAGACAACCTTGATATGCTGGAGATTTAGGGAAACCGTTCTGTCGGAAAGCCTGAAAGCAAATAGAGGGATTGCATAAGGGATCCTGAGGATACCATTAATGAGACGGATATCGCTACTGAGGAGAGTACGAAAACTACGGAGAGGACGCTACTGCGAGGTTATACTACTTCATCTAATGCTACACGTCAGGAGAGTCTTAAGGCTGTGTTATAGGTAATTAGAATCATTGACAGAATTGATTTAGACTTTTATATTTTAAAGCAACTTGTTTATTATGACGGTTATCGATTTATAGTGTTATGTTATTTAGATTGATACTTATAGTTTTCTTAACCTTTTTGTACCGCCGATTTATATGGTTTGTAGGGGAGTATTGAATTATTTAATGATTGTTCTTGAAACTATTTTGATATGGGTTTTTATTGATGTGAAAAACGTTTTCGAGAACGAATGAGTAAATGTTTTCTTTTTTGAGAGATTTAACACATATTTTAAAAATTTTTGTATTTGTTCGATATCTTTGGGATATTTGAAATTGACTCAATCTTACTGATGCTATTTATTAATTCATTTAATTTATTAAACCATTGTTAAACTTATACGTTTTTAAACTGGGTTTGAAATTTTATTTAGAATTGGGTTTTTAAAACTTTTGAAGAGAGGGTGTGATGTCAGCTATTTTATTTGCTGTTATCTAACGAAATCCCCTTTAGTTATTCCATGTAATACAGTTCTTGTAAGTTTGTTCTAATTCATTACCTGGTATTTTCATTGAATAGTAAACAGTACAAGAAACCTCAAGGGTCATACAACATATGACAAGTTATGTTGTCATTCGTTATAATGACCCGCCGGCACGAGTGCGCTGTCTCCCCTGTATCGTAGATAAACTTTACTATTGTGAATCCGACAATGGGGTTCACGACGTCATACAAGTTATGTCATGGTGCATCACGCCAAGAAACATTATTTAATGCGCGGCGCTGGCCAGGCAATGTATTAGTACAAAATTACTAATCAACAATTAAACAAGCTTATATGTACATGTGTACATCAATTAATTCCAAATTTATAACAATAGAAATGAAACTAACAATTAGATGTTTTTATTTTGAAAAGAATACTATTTGCTAATTGAAAAAAATTAAAGCAAAATTAAGGAATTACATTTGTTAATTTAATTTTAAATGCATGATGGTCTGCATTAAAATCAAAATTATAAGTTGCGCGCGCGTGCATATTTTATTTTGATAGGCTGCATTCTGCGTTCTGTTTAATTCGTAGTTTGATAATGAGCGCTACCAATGTTTTCAACTGTTCTCTTTGTTACTTTTATACAATATTTTTATTGAAAAATTTATATATATCGTTGTCATAAGTTTTATTATTATATTTAATCTTTTTTAGTTACATTACAATTACAACACTAAAACAAAGTGCACCAAATTCCATTGAATGTTACGACGTTACATTAAACGGAATATCAACTTTAACAACAATAAAGTGATGTGATAGCTAAATCAATGCTACAGTTTACTTTGCTACTACAAAAGCCATTTAACAGTTAATTAATTGGAATTTAAAGCAGGAATGAAGACAGTCTTTATACCAGCTGGAAAGAATCATTATATAAAGTTGAATAAATCGACTGAGTGTTGCTCTAACCCTAATGATTTTCAAGATCTCGGACTCTCGATTATTTTATTGTTACCAAATTTACATCCCTCGGTATTGATCCGCTTGCTCCACTATGCTCATCTTACTTCTATTTACTAAATAATTTTCAATTTTGTTTGTGCTGCAATACTATCTTAATTATTGATAAAAGAATTCAATTATCAAACCAATATATGGAAATACTGCATCTGAGATATTAATATCAAAAGCTAAGTGGTTTAGGTTGCTTAAGATATTTTTAATTTTTGAAGTAGTAAGTGTGGCTCAAAGATCTGATTCAGTGTCCAACAGTAATTAGATTTTGAATAAGGTTTACTAAATTATTTAAATCTATCCGTGATTTTATACAGCCATGAAACAACAGAATAAGTCAGTCAAAGCTGTGCAACAAATTTAAGCTGTTTTGAATTCGCATATAATTTACAAGCTTGAACTGTGCAGTTTAAGAGTTCACAGATTGTGATAAACAGAAGGACTTTGATAATTTAGGACCAAATGCCTGTTCGACAGGTTACATATGAGCTACGCGTATTTGGTTCGTCGTAGTAGACTGCTCAACGTTCACCCTTGTATATCTCTAACCTCATACGCTTTGATAGGCATTTTATGGAGACATTGAACCGTTAACAATGCTACAAAAGCCCTGCCAAAACGACTAAGAATTGGTGGCATGTGAGCATTACAAAGCAGTGAAAGCAGATCAGTACCTTGCAATTTATTGTCAAGACTTTGAAGTAGCCGCAGTAAAGTTAAACAAATCAGGCAAAGCACCTCTCAAAGGTACTGTCAAAAGTTCCTGTTGCTGATGTGTGACTAGTTTTTTTATCCTCGTTATTGCGCGCCATTTGCATTGTTTATACTCTGTGATGTTTAAGCCTATTATCGTGTTGAAATTATTTGTTTTAATTACTTTCTTTAAATTAAACTTTTTACTTTTTAATCAAACATTTAGGGAGTATAATATGCTCATAAATATTGTACTTTACCCTGTTCTGCCTCCTCCAGGGAAAGAAGCAACACATTGCAATAGTGCCCCGTCTGACAATTGGTGGATTTTCCCTAACAGCGCTTCTACTCTCAGGCATCTAACTAAAAACACACCTGTTTCTGTGGAGCTGGAAGGTAGGTGATATCTGATAATGTATTGCCATGTGCTTGATTCTTTGATAAGATAATAAAGTCGTACAGTTTATCCAATAGATCTAGTGTTATTGTTAAAATCTTTATAATTCTAACATTCTTCAGGGGATATATCATTTCTGTACGAATGCTAAAGTAATGATAAATCGGGAAGCCACTAACATCACTGTCGAAAAAAGTAGAGAAGGAAAGCTGATAAAATGGGTGAAGTTGGAATGAAGACTCAGGCATTGGAGGTTACATTTTCGTTTTCATTAGTGGATTTCCGGTCAATATTGTTTTTATCCAGTTTGCCAGTTGTTTTTTTTTTTTTTTTTTTTTGGGGGCCGAATCAGTTAATGGTCACCAAATACTAGTTTTTTCTGCAACTTCTTCAATCGAGTAAGACATGGCAACATACAGACTTCAACCAGCAACAATAAAAACAATAACCATCCTAGTGTAATCCTAGTGTAACACCTAGTGTAATCAACAGTGTAAACTCCTAGTGTAACACCTAGTGTAACTCTTGTGTTTCCAACTAGTGTAACACCCCAGTGTAACACTAGTGTAACACCTGTGTAACACCTAGTGTAACACCAGTGTAATACCTAGTGTAACAACTAGTGTGTAACACCCCGTGTAAACACTAGTAGTAACACCTTGTGGTTACACCTAATGTAACACCTAGTGTAAACACCTAGTGTAACACCTAGTGTAACACCTAGTGTAACACTGGACTCCCAGGACGAGTATGACTGGGCAGCTGAGAGTCTAATACCGGAGGAGTATCACGTGGTACGTGTTAGCGGGGTACATGGTCTCAAACATAGAAGACGCTCCAAACACTTCAACTAACTGAAGAGCATGAGCACCATGTCCACTCTTCCTAGTCTTCAAACCTACCAGTAGGAAGGAGGTTAGTCCATACTCAAGTTCTCTTTAAATATAATACCTATAATATGTATTTCTCGGGATTATAGTACTGAGAGATATAGTATACATTTTATATATTGGACGTGATTGTTGAATTAAGGTAAAGAATGTTTGTTCTTGGTTAGATTGTATACACCAAAACGGTATCTGAAGAGTTTGTTATTCAGGTGATGCAGCTGATGGGAGAATAAGTCACTAATTAAATGTGCCACATGTGAGTGCCGCATGTGAGTGCCACATGTGAGTGCCGCAAGTACCACATGCTACATATGATAGTGCCACAAGTGCCACATGTGAGTGTCGCAAGTGCCACATGCTACATATAATAGTGCCACAAGTGCCACATGTGAGTGTCGCAAGTGCCACATGCTACATATGATAGTGCCACAAGTGCCACATGTGAGTGTCGCGAGTGCCACATGTTAGTGCCACAAGTGCCACAGTGCCACATTTACGTTATAAGGTTGTCTGTGTCATTATGGCATGATCACTTTCTTGATCTTCAGCTTCCTCGTTCACTTCTTCGGAGTTATTATTTAGTACCTCCACATCTTGTAAAATTTTACACTGAGATGCAAGACCGAGGTGGTCAAATTAAAAATAGTTTTCAAAGACTAATTGACCATTGTTAATGATCTGGCCCGGCGCGCGCTACTTCGTAGCACTTGCCATCGAGAAGAAAGCGGCGCGCACTACTTCGAAGAAATTTAGACGAGTAACATCCGTCAAAAAGACTAAGAGCAAGTATTATTTGAGTTGACATACTATACGTTGCATGCCACTTTTGGGATACGTTAACGTAACATGTTTACCTGGGGACCCCAGGCTATTATGTTCATTAACCGAATAGAGATTAGGCGGAATGACAGGCTGAGCGCGGCCCAGTAAATAACATGTATGTCCGTAAAATGTTGATACATATTACGTATCACAATTATCAGCGGCGCGCGAAAAGTGGCATGCAACGTATGTCAAGTAAAATGCAATTACTATATAATTATAAATAGGATTTTACTAATTCACTCGCCACCGCGCTATCACGTGTTTTTAATGCCGTGATTTCATTGGTCACCTCTATACCGAGCATTGTAGCGCGATGCACTACTGGGTCGCGCCGCGCATCTTACTGGGCCGCGCTCAGCCTGTCATTCCGCCAAATCTTTATGTTAATGAACATAATAGCCTGGGGTCCCCAGGTAAATATTATCAACACCGACTTTTAATGTGTAGGAGTACAGCAACGAAATATATATATATATATATATACAAGATATTGCGAGCGTCCTGTTACTCTCTTAGATGCAATCTCTGTAAAGTATTGGACGAGAACTGATTTTAAGTAAGGATTTTAAATCAAGTTCAGGATTAGAAAAAAGTTCTCCGATTTGCAGTTTGAATAGTATGTGCTTGTGACGCATCCGGTATCAGCATAATCTCAGAGTAAACATGTCTCGCGTGCATATCTTCTTTATCTTTTTTAGCAGAACTCTTTCCTCAGAAAGTCACCGAGTAAAAAGTCAGATGACTGTAACAAAGCAGCAGAAATCCCAGACATTAATAGCCCTCTCTCATCATTATGCTGAAATTTAAAAAATACAATTCGTGACTCTACAATGGTATAATTGAGACTTTTCAAATCTCAATCAGGTTTTAATTATCTCAGTTACTCGCCAGATTTTGAACGATTAGGCGCTAGACAGTATGATTCTAAAGATTTACAATCTAAAACTTTGTACTACCTTTGTTCATCCTTAGAACAATTACATCACGAAGCACTCCAGCGGACGAAGCACTCCAGCGGACATCTGAGCAGAAACGATTTCACTCGACCAAGGTACTGGAGCTGAAAAATTCAGAGTCATATCTCTTTTGTAAACAAGTGAAAAAGAAGTACTAAATTACAAACAATGTCATTAAGCTTATTAGCGATCATGGATGAAGATAACAATGTAATCAGGAACAATGTAAACATGGAATACAGCATCGTATTGATCTAATTGAGTGGGTCTCAGAATTAATTTGAAGATAACACACTTTTTAAAAAGTTTAAACCAGTCGGTCGGATTAACAAGTAAACGAAATACAGTAGTCCCGGTAACGAAGCTTTAATATACCACTCATCATGAGGAACAGTGTGTAAAATATAACATTAAAATAATTCACTGGCTAAACATTTCAGGTTACTAAATGATTGAATGTGCCTGTGTACCATTAGCATTAATATAGTACATAATACGGTGTAGTGTGTACTATTTGTACTATACACTATTTTTATATTAATTTATCGTGCATTGCTGGGAAGGCTGTTAATTTAGGATAGAGTTATTGTGGCACTTATATCAGTTTGCTCTTTTGCAGTTGTTCTCACACTGCTAAGTAAAAGTTTTACAACTTAAAAGCAAATTTAAAATTATTCTACACAGCCCACCTGTATAACATCAACCCAGGAAGTTAAGTTATTAAAGCTTTAAAGGCAAAGCAGCGTGTACGAAACCATAATATCAAAACTTCCTTTTCTCTAGATCTCTTAAAATATTGTACTAAGAACTAAAACAAATTCAATTAGGAATTGAAAGCAGTCTTCATTACGAAATTTAATACACATATGACTCGCTCCATGCACGAACAAAATTAAAATAATAGACCGAATAGAAATTACATCAAAGATCAATTAACAAGTATATTAATTGAGTGTATCATTAATTAAGTCCTCCAAATCCAGAGCACTGGAAGAGAGAGCTGGGTTGAGTGATAAGTGAAGAAGTGAAGAAAGCTCATTATAATGATTACGTGCACATGTTACATGCTAGTGGAATGAGTATACTAGTATAGATACACCTGTAGGTACTTCAAGTGGCTTTCCAGAGGCTGATGAGGAGGGTGATGGGCTTATATTACAGTATTTCGGTTGTAGTTGGAGCTAGGAGAGAAAGCATAGAGGTCCACATGAGATGTTATCCGTCTGCTGAGACTGCTGTTGGCACGGCAAGACACTGATATATTTCACATTCCTTGCTGTTGGATGTTCTTCTCTTCAAAAAATCCGGTCACCATCCTCACGCACTCACTAGATGATTTAGTTGCTACAGGAACTGGCAGGCGATTATTAATCTTCGTTGCTGGCTCTATTTTCCTAAAGAGTGGAGAAATGGTAACAGGCTTCACTCCCTATTCCACCCACTGACCGGTCTCCTCAAACACATCTAGCTCATACCCCAGGTTTTTCTCAAACTTCTTTTTCTTTTCTATAGTAGACCTGTTTCTCATAAGATATATGAATGTAACAGCAGGAATTTCATCCCCGACATGTTATATAATGAATATCTGTACCTATTAAGCTCATTCCTTGTGATTTTGCTCACAAATTGATGTGTTTATTCTATTCCGTAGCAGCTGTGCGCAAATATCCAACAGATGAAATATATCTAATGGATTTTTAAAAGTCACCTCATGATATCTGTCAAATAAGATGTACTTATGGCTTACTGGGCGACGCTCAGCCAGCACTGTCATTCCACCGAATCTCTATCTATGATTATGGACATAAATATAATAGCCTGGGGTCCCCAGGTAACTTGTGGCTTAACTTGGTTACAGGATGGTCTCTAGGGTTGGATTTCACAGTTTAAACTTTGTGGTGCCACAGCTCATCAAAGCTTATGAGGCCGTCGGATTTGATGAATTGCGGGATCTCCGGTTTTGAAGAGTCTGCAAGCTTTCCTCCGTATGGTGGCAGCATACCAGGGAACTGCTTCTCGGCATAGCGGGCCACTTGGGGAGCAAAGTCCACAACAGATATTGACGGAATATGCTGCCATGATCTAAGGAACTGAACGTAATCCGATGCCCCTTCATGCAGGTAGAGGACCTTAAACCCTACACATATTCATGTGGACACATAACTGTGAGAAGTCCACCACTCTTCCCAGCAATCTGTACAAACTTTTTAGTGAACGAATAGTGATCTGTGTTGTGTTCATGATCTTACCATGAATCAGGTTGAGACTGAGTTATCTGCCTCGGGGCTGCCCCTACAATATCCACCAAGGGGTGATTCAACTGTAGAGCCTATGCTAAAACATGCGATGGAAAACAAACGCATTCCACTGAGTGTAATCCACTCGTGTGTAAGACGGAATGTCAGTCAAATCCCTGTCAAAACGTATTCCATCCAAGAAAATCTGCACGGGCACCCACTGTAACCAGGGCAGTTGGTTACAGAAGGAGGCAGTGACGACTGTTGACATACATGTTAAGTTCTGTTTCACCTGTCAGACTCCTTATCGATACACCGATGTCTCGGAAGGGGTGTTCACTGTTCAATAACAACAACCATACAATTGTAGACTGTCAGCTTCTGGAAACCATCTTCACCAGACTGGCATTGTTTGTTGCTACTGTGGAGTCAATACTTCTTTATGGTTCTGAAACGTGGACGTTGACAGAGCAATTGAAGAATTGATACACTAGAATGATAAGGATGGCACTAAATGTGGATTGGAAGCAGCGCAAAACCAACAAAGAAGTCTATGGCAACCTACCGAGAGCAACCATGAAGATCCAAGAGCGCAGGATGCGACTAGCAGGCCATATCCACCGGCACCCAGAACTAGTCGCAAACCGCTTGCTACTCTGGGAACCAACTCATGGGGTACGGAGTAGGGGGAGACCAGCCATGACTTATGTTGATAGCCCACGAGCTGACACGGGTCTCAACGACACTGGAGAAATGAGCGGACTTATGGCGGATAGAGTTCTATCCAGAGACAGCGCATCAATACTCGGACGCTGAAGCCGCCTTAAGCCCACATCCAGAAAGTTAAAAATTTCCTCGCAGATACACATTTTCTGTTTTCTGTGGCCCGCTCGCTTCGCTCGCAAATTTTCCTTTTTTGCAATGTCGGCGAGTGAAGCAAGACAGTTTTAAGCATTCGGAGCTAGGCCCCAGAACATTTTTTTGCGTTTTTGCTTGGCCACATTAAAATCTACAATAACAAAATATCTGAAGTCCTTCAAAATAGTGTATTACAAAACGGCTTTCTCCTACAACCCACAAGTAAAACATGGCCAGCTTGCATGCACCATCTGTCGTAGTTATCACAAATTATTATTATATGTGTAATGTGCCTTGCAGAGTAGAGGCAACCATGTCCTGAGAAATATAGAGTGCATACAACTTAAACTTTCGCACAGACAGGAATTGAAGATATGTTTGCCGCAGGCAAAAATTCTTGATGATTTTTCCCACACAGAAGGCCTAGAAGCAATTTGGCAATAGAGATCATTTTCAAACACAGTTTCAAGAACGATTCAAAGAACTGTTAGTTTTTTCCTCTTTCATTTGTCAACAATTTTGGATTGTTTTTAGAATTAGAAAATCTCCTCTTTACCCCAGAAAATTCATGGTAAAAAATTCAGATCGTAGACTTTATAAATTTCCTCTTTGGCACCAAAAATTTCCTCCGAAATCGAAAATTTCCTTGCAGATTATCTGCTATGGTTTCTGGCTGTGGGGCCTTAGGTCAGTCAAGTCAGTAAGTCAGTCGAGTTCTATTATTCTCTCCACCCGTTGTCTCAGTGTCCCCTTCTTGTTTAATTTAAGCATGTCAATCATCCCGTATATGACGTTAGATCCGGGTTTCTGCTTGGTGATGTTCCACAAGTCATCAAATTGTATGGGGTAGACATCAGGTTTGCCGTCAGAGCCTTTATCTATTGCTTTCACATCAAAGAGGATGACAGGGGAATGTCTCCCACACTCTCTACAGGACAGAAAGTCTAGAGGTGTCTCCTTCATGCCCATATACCTTACAAGACATATTTATGGCGGCCTAATTTGCGACGACCGAAATTTTGGCGGTCCGAAAATATGGCGAAATTGAACAAAAACCGTCAAATTTCGGACGTCCCAGAAAATAAGGGTATTTTTCATCATTTTTTGTGACAGTAAGCAGTAAGGAAATTTCTGAAATTCGGTAAAATCATGTTCAAACTTAGTCTGTATTAAGACTGTAAGACTTTCATGTTAGCACATACATGTATTTTAATGCAAATTTAAACTGTATTGCTTGACATTCAATTCGTCATTGGTGTGGTGATAATTTGTCCCAAGATGCCAGAATTTATTTATTTTACTTGATATTACTTTTTAGAAACAAAATAAAACAGTGAAGGCACAGTCATTGAAATAAGCTAAAATAAAAGATAATGCGACGGATTCTATTACGACGACCGAAATTTTGGCGGTCCGAAAATATGGCGAAATTTTCGGAAAACCGCCACATTTCGTACGTTATAAATATGTCTTGTAAGGTAGATTAAAGAGGAGGAAGGCATCCCTTAGGGTGTTGGTGGTAAGGTGGGGGCTGTCAGACTCCATTCGGAAAGTATCGACTAGTGTCTTGGATATGGGGTGTCCAAAGGTGGTGAAGATGGTTTCCAGAAGCTGACAGTCTACAATTGTATGGTTGTTGTTATTGAACAGTGAACACCCCTTCCGAGACATCGGTGTATCGATATGGAATCTGACAGGTGAAACAGAACTTAACATTTATGTCAACAGTCGTCACTGCCTCCTTCTGTAACCACCTGCCCTGGTTACAGTGGGTGCAGATTTTCTTGGAGGGAATAAGTTTTGACAGGGACTTGACTGACATTCCGTTTTACACACGAGTGGATTCCACTCAGTGGAATGCGTTTGTTTTCCATCGCATGTTTTAGCATACGCTCTACAGTTGAATCACCCCTTGGTGGATATTGTAGGGGCAGCCCCGAGGCAGATAACTCAGTCTCAACCTGATTCAGGGTAGGATCATGAACAGTAGATGGATTCTTACTGTCGACATGTTTGCAAAACCTCGGTAAAACTCGGCTTGGTAAAGTTTTTAATTTGTATCGTACATTTTGAACGTTAAGATCAAAATGTACGATAAAAT